GCGACAGTGGAGAGGAAAAACTCCCCTTTAACACCTCCAACAGAACCAGAAGAATGTATGGACAGGAAAATAATAGAGACAATCATCTGGATTAATGTGCATTTAATCATTAAGCCCCCATTTCCACTACCCTTTTGAAACCGTGCTGAGATCGGTCCGAGCACGGTAACCGAGATAACTGTTGAGTGCAAACTGAACCATCCCGAACACAACCAAACTAGTTCATCAGTAGAGCTCAGCGTGGTTCAGATCTGGCTCAGTTCTTAAATGACAAACGGCGCATAAGCAGAATGAGTCATCTCCTTACATCTCCACTTCCCAAAAGCCGACCCTGTCAGTTAAATTCAGCAAAGGCTGCCTGAGTTTCCACAAGCAACGAAATATCACAATGATACCAAACTTCCTGAATGTTACGGCCGCCGTTTGATTTGCAGAATTCCAGTAGTACCGTAGATCGCCACTAGGAGGCGAGGAACCATGCTGGTGTGGTGTGTAAATGGTTGTGAGGAAGCGAGCTCTGTATGGTTAACCGATCCAAGCTCGGTCTGACCTTGGCACGGATCGGTTTTCAGAGGGTAGTGGAAATGGGTTTATGTTGTGCATAAGTTTTGGCCATATCATTCAACCCTACCCTGGAGGAGCTGGAGGGTAATCTAATTACTCTGGTCTTTCCTTTACAAAGACAAGAAGGAACTTTAGAGAGAGCTTTAGGATTAGCAGAAGTCTCAATACAATGAAATCCAGTTTTCAAATGAAACTAATTCTGTTCTAATTCTCTAAATATAGTTTTTATTCAGTTTCACATGATTAAGTGCGATTTAAATTTAAAAGAAACACGTATCATTTCAATTTTTTCCATAAACACAGACTCCCTTTGAGCTATTCAAATACAGGCACATGTTTCTTCCCTTACACAACACCCAGAACACATCAATTGCATGGTGGTGGCAGAATCATGCTTGGGCCATACTTTCCTTCAGCAGTAAGAAGAAGGTCAGTGGTGGATGTGAAGATTCATGGACTTCGATAAAGGGAGAAAATGGAACAAAACACACTTTTCACATCTTTAATCAACATTTTAAATACAATATTTCCCTTTTATTTAAAAAAAAAATCAGTGCAACAGATTTCATGGCGTAACACATGAGGAAGTTTAATCTGTGAACATACTTTTGTGTAGCTGGTAGCGAAGCAAAGAGCCCTTTAATGACTAACACATTGCAGGACGGGTCTTTGTTCAGAGGTGCAGATACTCCAACCTTCCTGACTGCCTCAGCAACGTATCATCAAAGTGGTTTCCAGATGATTTTTTTTATTAACTCTCATCATCACTGTGAGCTCACTCAGAGCCAAAAAAATTAGAATTTGGGTCAAGAGAATGACGACGGGGTGTTAAAGAAGGGTGAGTAAGAAAGAAGGGATTATGCTTTGAAACCAGAAAGAGGCTGGTAATTATTTTGGGGGCTTTTTATTTGGTGGCTCTGGTTCTATCAACACAGCAGGCTCCAGCTACACTACGCTGCCTCTGGCGAAAGACGGGAAGGCGCACGCACACAGCCTGCCTCTTACCTTAACGCCTGGACCTGGATCCAGAATGTGGAAAGAATTAGATTCATAAAATTGAGGGAGACCTCAGTAGTGGCGCCTCGGCAGATGTTGGCAGAATCACACGCAGGGTGACAGCGTTCTGAGATGCCTGGGTTATTAAAGGATTTGTCCGCCGAAATCTGAGAGCAACAAAGACTTAAACTCAAAAAAAATAACGAGCCGTGCATCCTCCAGCTGGGCGTAACCCGTGGACGGCACCGGCCTTGACAAGTGAGAAAATGATGTTTTCAGAAAGAGGGCGATGTGTGTGAGCCTGACCTCCGAAGCGGCAGAACTGGCAGGAGGACGGAAGGGAGGGAGGTGACAGGAGAGAGGAGCCTTGTCTGCATCTTGGCTCGGGATGAGTGCGGGCTTCTTCCAGCGCAGCCCATCCACAGGCCTCCTGCTTGCAGTGAGGAGGCTTAACGCTGACGTTCTTCACATCCGTATTCATGCACACCATACATATTGCTGTATATGCATACATCGAAACCTGAGGTTGATCAAGGCAATGAGGTTAGCTTTAAAACCACCACCCCCCACCATCCCCCCACCCCCATATTGGCCCAGTTTTTCTAGAAGCACACATCTGTGAGTACTTTAGCTCTGTTTGAGCCTCTCTGCGAAGCAGCAGAGCCTAAAGGGCCTGACAGGAGATGATGGGAGGCCTGACTGAGGAGGTGCAAATACTCCACTCCTTAGAAGCTCCAGCCCTAAAGTCCTAAATCAAGGTGTGAACATCTTTAGATCTTCAGGTAACAGCTGCATGTGTTGCACCCTGAGTGTTTTAAAGTGTGAAATGAAAAATTAAGCTTTAGATCTTAGTGTTAACACCCTGAGGTCTGCAGAGCCGGGAAGACATTTTTTTTCCTGTCTTAAATCTCTTCTGTTATTCAATATGGCTGCTTTTTGATGTACAATCATTTCTGTACAAGTAATATTTTTTTTATGTTTTATTTGGATTAGATATATTTGACTTAAAAAAGGTGAGCTGGGTAAAAAGATCCCCTTATGCAACCATTACTTGAACATTATTGGGGATCCCTAGCAGTTGTGTGTCTGTAGCTAAGATATTTTATTGTATCATCAATCAGGGTGCAGGACATAGGTCTGTAATATATATATATATATATATATATATATATATATAGCCTCTCAAACTCAAAGGAGTCTGAATATTTAAACCTTTGAATATATTTTTAACAAGTTAAAGAGGTGAGGGGCCAGATAAACCATTTCAAGCAACACAAAGTTAGACCCTTTGACCTGGATCAGTGTGAAAGTTTTTTCAGTGGTAATTGTGTGGCTGAGCTGCTTATGGTCCTTATTGGTAAATGTGTGAGACGACAAGTTTTATTCTTACAGACCTAAATGATCTGTTCAATGAAACAGACAAGCAAACACTCTTTCTCACACCTTGAAAGGCTCTTAGTTTGAGCTTCACATTTGTCCTTCTTGTAAATGAAGGGGGAAAGTGTACAAACCCATTTTAAGCCAACTGATCAGCAGTGTGCAGCTATGCACAGTCTGGCCATGAAGTTCTTTCTGTATGTCTGCTTCTGTCTCCTTGAACCCCAGTGGGCCTCAGCAGATGGCCGCTCACACTGAGCCTGGTTCTGCTGGAGGTTTCTTCCTGTTCAAAGGGAGTTTTTCCTCTCCACTGTCGCTACAAGCATGCTTAGTGTGAGGGATTGCTGAAGAGTCAATGAGTCGATGCAATCAGCTGGTTTTCCTTAGATAGAAAACTTTGAATCAATCTGACTGGATGATCTGGTGAACTGGAAAGTGACCTGAGATGACATGATGTGAATTGGAGCTATAGAAATAAACTGAATAGAATTGAAGTGGGGTAAAATGGCATTAAAAGAACGATAGAACTGTTTTAAATTCTAAGTTAAAACCCAAAATCTGCTTTAGACCTTTTAAAACTTTTGTATACCTTTATAACAAAGCCTTGAAAAACTTCTAGTATTTTACCTTCAGTATTTTGTGCTTTTGTCACTTTTACTGGGAGTTTATTTCTGTGTAAATTCTTTACGATTTTATCCTCTGGCTTTAATGGGCAGAGTGAAGAATTGCTGGTTTGTATGGTCGAGTTTCAGACAGGACTTAATTAGAATACCACAAACAGGAGGCTCCTTATGTCTCCCTTTCCATGAAAATTTAAATATCACTTAAAAGCTAGAAACCTGCTTTTTACTCATTTTGATCAGACCAGTATAATATTTTCCCAGTATGATAACCTTGACTGAAAACAGAACCAATAATAACTTTCCTGCTGTTAAAATAATTCAAATTACTTACAATATCAGGTATGATATTTATTCATC